CAGACGACTAGAAGTTCTAGGAGGTGAGAAATGAGAGTGGACCCTGAAGGTTCTCGACCAGGGAGTTTATCTTCGTCCTCAGTAGGCCCAGGCCAGTGTCCTTGGAACCGTGAATGCAAATCAAAATGGAGGCGACCTTGGTGAAGACCAGTCTTCCGTGAGTCAGCTCGATTATTATTTCTTGGACCGTTTCCTGTAATTCATAAAGTGTTCCTTGTAAAGCCAAAAACGGATCATAATGTAGGTAGGGTTGCAATATTATAAGTGGGTCATCCAAGCGCTGGTTGGAAGGTGGTGACGATGAGATAGGGTCTCAAATCAAGAAGCACGTTTATTAGTAACAGTCATGGGCTGACGTCCCTTTGGTAGGAAAAGATGTTGCAACTTTCTTACAACAAGCAAAATGCATCTAATGAAGTTTTCTGAGAAATTAACAACAAGTCTGGGGCAAAGACTTATGAAACATAGAGTGTGAGCGTGAAGTCGCAGAACTTACGCGTAAATGCCAGCGCAGGCGAGCGTAAATGCAGCAACATATTGGCAAAAATGGGCCCGGAAGACGTGTGATAGACACTAAATCGCGTGAAAACCACGCTCAAAAAACTCGTCAAGCAGCTCCCCTTTCTTGCGTTAACTAGACCACTGTCATTATGGGAAGAGGGCACCACTCTGCGAGGAGCAGCCGATAACAGTACCGTGAACCACTCCGACTGTACCAAGTGTTACAGAGTCTTGGCCAGTTAGTGTGAGTCAGCAAAGAGAGGTCACGTTTTGTAACAGTTGAGCAGCATCACAAGTACGGTAACCGAGGTGCGAGGCTGGGCACGGAAATATGCACTCCCTCCCCCTCCTCTCCCTCCGTATTGCAGGTGGTCCTGCCCCTAAATTTTAGGGGTGGAGGGGTTATTGTTAGGTGTTAGGGTTGGCAGGGTTAGAATTAGGGTTGCCGTTAGGGCCAGGTTTATGAAGGTTAGTGTTGGGGTTGCGGCAAGGAGAGTTTGGCTTAGAGTAGTGTTGGAGTTGAAGTTATGAAGTCGGGGTAGGAAGCCCCTGAATTTAGTGCGAGGCCACTTGTAGTATTGAGGGAACCGTATTACCGTGTCCGACCAGGTTCGGAACGGGAACACGTGCACTTCTGAAAACAGCATACAACGTAAAAGGTGCGCGACATTTCATATCTTCCTGATGGCCCTCGTTACCAGAATGACGGAGCCGAGGTAGATGGGATCGCCGAAAATTCAAAGCACATGTCACGCCTTACTTTGTTAGCTCCGACAATTTGAGGGGAAGGCAAGCAGCTTACAGAGCGCTCTGAGGTATTTGTTCAACGAATGTTTTCAATCGCCTTAAGCCACAAAAGAGAGCGTGGTTGTGTGATCTGTCAAGGGGCAAATGCTTGATCGATGCATCCTCCCCTTCAATGGGGAAGGAGGGTGGCAGAAAATGTCGTGTGTTTGTGCGTGTATCTCTGACAGAGCAAATAACTTGAGGGATGGCTACAAAGTCCTTCTGGCCCAGTCCATTGTGAGAAGTGTATTTGAAACAAAATCTTTATCAGTCCGAAATTTTGGATTCATACATCGGCAAAAACTAACGAGACAAAGACTTGCAGTTTTTACGGAACGCTTGATATGCGGCCGCATCGGTAACCAGGCTGGAGTCTTTGAATGCTGAGTATTCGTCGCGGGTGCTTGGAATCAGCATGACATTTTCTTGGTAGTTCGCGTTCGACTTGGCAATAGTTGCGTCCCCAACATAAGCATTGGCAATGGGCCTGATAACTACTTAGTCGATTTTCCCTGCTCTACTGTCCTCGTGGTGCAGTGTTTATGCGTCTGTGAGTAATTACCTCGCCAACGTTATTATGCATGCAGACAAACTGTCGACCTTCGTCGACCTCGGGCGGGTTTCTTGAATTTTGCATTTCCTGAGGTAGGGAAACCAGTCAACTGCCCTTCCTGGTCCTTCTGATTCATCGATGTTTCAATGGGGCCTCTAAAACGATGGTCTAAAGGAAGGTCACCAAAATGCATTGCCGCAAAGCGGACGATAATGCAAACGAACTCTTTTTATTGGATATGCCATGGCTTTGTAGAATGCAGCATTGGACTCGGGGAAATTTAAAGGCAAACAGCACAACAATCAGAACAGTTTAGAACACTCGCCTCCGTTAAGACCGCAAACGGAGCAGCCGTTCGTCGCTAACAGACCCGAGGCAGCAGTGCGACGTCTAACAACAGTATGCGACCTAACTCATGAACCATGACGAAAATTGAGACAATCGGCTTTCGGCTGAACGTTTTATTTATTCGTCTACTCCGTCCTCGACAATGGCCCTTTTTATATGCAGGAAACGTATATAAATAATTTTGTCAGTCAAATTTACGTTAGCTTATATTCGGGCAGTTTCCAAAACCAGTACTTTTCCTCAACTAACATGTGTTTCTTTATTTGGGGAGAGTAATCTAAACACGAACAATACCAAGCAGAATTCGCGGCATTTTGAAACTGACTTTTATCTCTACGTAAATTGGATGGAGCAGGATGAACACAAGAAAGTTATTTTTAGAAGACCAGACATTTTATCGATTGTTAAACATCCAGTTTACAAATCTGCATAAGTTCTCGCCCTAAAACGCAGTAATAACGTTTACAGTCAATCCATCCAAACGTATTGACATTTTCCGTCCTTTACGAATACTTAATAACTTACCACGAAAAGGTCCTCCGCCAGGTGGCTAGGTTAACTTTTAAGCATATGGCAAGATGTCTTTTGTATGGTCTACTTTTCACTAACACGTAATTTAGAAACGGAACGGGCAGATGGGCAGGTTTTAGCAATCTCTTAGTTTTTTTTATGGCCACAGTGCTGTGTCTGTATAATCATAGAACGAAACCCTAAAATATGCGAATATAATGAAAACGACTCCAGTGTAAAGATGAAAGTGGATTATTTCGCTTGAAGCAGTAAAATTGGCATCATTTTCCTGGGAAGCAAAAAAGCCGGCCAAACGTTCCGGTTTTACTTTACCTTGGAAAAAAGTAAACCACACAGACACCCGTCAGCAAACTGCCTTATTAAAGCGTGTTTTAAAGAGGTAACCCACATATATGGGGCTTGAACACGGATGGATGTGAACACCTGGACCACCGGTCAGATAAGAACAGAGGTGACGAGAGTAATACAGCGGTCATAAACTGAGCAATTACCAACGCGTGAAGTCCAGGGACGTGGATGACAAATATGAACGATGCAACAATCGGTGCCGTACAAAGGAGGGGGGTAAGTTGCAGGAAGCAGAAGGAAAAAATAAATAGGAACTTTGCTTGTCAGACGTTTTGGATTCACGCTCGGACCCATAACTAGAGACAGCAATAAAGGTGAAGAACGCACAGGAGGTACAGAATTCAGAGGTCAAGTGCTACGTGGCCTCACACCTAGTGAAATCAACAGCTCTCGCATTCACTGCAGATGCTCGTATTTGGTGCGATAATTATTTGGTCGTCCGCGTCTGAGATGATTGTCGTGAGCTTGCCATCGATGTCGGTTTTTGATAATTCGGAAATCTGGTTCACCAGTACTGGCAATGGAAACTCTGTCCACCTGCTTGCTTCTTGTCACACTCGGTCAAGGTAAGTTTTAGCGAGAAAGAGAGGTAGACAATGCGCACTTCCTTGTTATAAGCTCCATTGACTCGAAAGTAGTCAATGCGCACTCGGAATGATCTTTCTCGTTAATGTGACCAAAATCCAGTTGCTGTTGTAACACAGTATTTCCAGCGTGTTGGTCGATCCCATGTATACTTTTGTTGCCAGTCAGTCGTCGTGCTAATGGAAGACGACGTGGAATGAGAGTCCATCCTTTATATTATCCTATGTCATCAATTGCAGATTAACGATGGCAATAGCCAAGCTCACTTCGGTGATTTAAGCATAAAGCGCAATACCGGCGCGAGCCGCAGTCATACAAAGTGAGTAGGTCGAATTCTCCAGTTTCCGGAAATGGGTAGATGAATTCGCTACTTGAAACTTTAGAGTACAAATGCACCCCTCTTTTGTTCCGATGTTACCTGGGAAACGCATTTTTACTACTATTTATAACAATTGTAAGGATAGGGCTGTCTTACAAAAAGGGCATACTGTGAACCCTTCGCATCAGTCCTTGCTGGATACGGGGGCTACGTTCAGAGTACAAAAGTTAGCAGCGTCCTTCACTTCAGGACTTAACTTACGCATTCACTCAGTTCTAGTTGTTTCTGGTAAATATTCCAAATGTTCGCAACAATTGCTGCCTTCGTTTTCTCATTGTCATCGATGACACCGGTATGTGTGAGGAGGACGCCCTCGGTGCTGAAGAGCATGATTGACTGTACGCCGCCTGTATTGACTTTCGACAGAGCCGAGGCCAGCGCCCGTGGCCTCAACATGATGCAGTCTTCGATATGGAGTTCTCACTCTTAAGTAAATGAAAAATCAGATCTAAATGACATAGGCGGTTTGGATCATTGAGGAGGAGTGATCAAAGACTCTCAAAAGCGTTGTCGTTTAGTCTCAGATATTTAGAAAAAAAGACAGAAAAAAGCCTGATAATCGCAACGAGTACGAGTAGTCAACAGGGTCTTATCAACATTCTTCTAACACATGTCTGGCTATGAAAACACGTGTCAATGATATAAGTCTCCATGAAAGTTCTGGTGAATAAAAAGTGGTCAGAACAAGATTTAGCCTCCCCGGACAAAGGACTGAGCACGGAGGGGGGACAACAAACTGCAGCAGAGACCACACTAATGTTGCTGCACAAAAGTATTCTCGAAAATTCCCTCGACTTCGTTTGTTCGATTGAGGCGATATCAGAAGTAACCACATTTTTGTCGGGAAGCACTGGGCAGATGCGGTTAACGAACGTCGCTGAATGTGCGGAGCCGATGTATGAGGCAAGTACAGCTCAGACTTTGCGATTCTGAGAACTCGAATGTGCCTGAATGTCAAGTCGCTCATGCAAACCACTGAGCCTCAGTCTTGATGTAGGCAAATTTCGACGCAGTGAAATACTCAGCCAAACGCTTCGTATTTTGGGCATTCGTGAAAAAGTTGCGGTCTGTATCATTTTTATTTTGCTAAAATATTGCACTATGTAAGATACCTAGGACCGTAACAAGCACGTGAGAGGGAGAGTACGAACAGGGCAGGATGCTAGAGTCACTGTACAATTGACGTACTGGAACATACAACGAGCAGGGGAAGAACCGTTAGAGAGCAGTAGATAAGAGATATTTTCGTTAGGGCATCAGTTAGCATGGCGCGACGATAATCCTAAGGACCTTAATTATGATAATTCAAATACATCCGCTGCCCCAACCGATGTCACTACTACTGTATTACGAATGGTACTAAGTAGTCAATACTCGCAAACGATAGCACTACCACTACAGTTCTGGCCAGGCGTTAGTAGTAGCAACTTAGGGTAGTGTTACCACTAGCACAGTCTACTACTATATTACTACCACTGCTACTATGATGATAACGGTAATATTAACGGTGTCCAAACTCCGCAATAATTAGCAGGGCGGTTGCGAAAGTGACATTGGGTGCAAGCAGGACCGCCAGGACGGAAGGGAGAATTTTAAACAAATGGTGGTATTGTTTCAGCAAATTCTGGGCATTTTTCATGACCCAGATGAGATACTCAAACAATGAAGTAACTCCTTGAATTTTAAGTCAACTTTGACTTGTCAATTGTTGAAAGACGGAGCCGGTGCATTGTGAGTGTGTGCGTACACACAGGTAGCGTCAGCATGGCGCTGACCAGAGGTGTGCGCACAGCGGTCTGACAGTAAGTGAAGCTGATTTCCGTACTCACTGCTAAGTCACGGAAGACTAAGAAACTGGCAGTCAATGGTCGCAGTCTTGTAAAGTACGGCTTTGCCTGGAGTGCCAGTCCCACTTTCGGCAGTTCTAGTGTCTGGCATGTTTTGGCCTGATGGTGGTTGATATCTGTTTACCTGTTCACTCTTTGCGACTTTACCTGTCTGACGACTTAACCACAAAAATGACCAACAGGAGCTTTTAGAAGAAATACCAAGTGACAAGTCAAAAAGGGAATTCAGGAAGTGTTGGGGAATGCAGAAAGAAATACTGCCTCGACATTTTCGTTCAATTCGTAATGTTGGATGTCAGGATCAGGATTGGAGGATGGTGCGCAATTATGAGTGGGAAATTTACAATTCTGTGGATATCTTCAGGAAATTCAATGTGCAATAGAAGCACAGCAAATACGGCAAGGACAGATGACAAGCAGACCGTAAGAGAGACAGTGAGGTTGTGGATTGTCCACTCACGAACACCTCATTGTTACCTGGAGACACTTCTACCCCCATTTACGTTGTTTGTGAAAGATGTGTCTTTAGGACCGATAACACTTAGGGAGTACGACCACGTGCATTGTGAGCCCAACGTCGAGAGGGCAGCACGTCTACCTTCGCCCTGAACGTTATATTTAAAAAAATGATATTTCGCTTAATGTGGGTAATTCCGAGCGTGCATCAAAGTTAATATGGTATGCCGATTAGTCGAAGCTCAAAGGAGTATGTTAGCCAATCTTTAGCAAAATTATAAAACCCACTAGGAACAATGTGTTTGTTGTGAAAGTTTAACAGGACCCGCCGCAGCAGCTGATGCCGTATTGTACTATAAAGAAATCACGCGCAATACCCGCAAGGTTACATGAAGTGTCCTGTACATTGCTGATTTAGGGTGAGCATTACATGTGACGCACCAACACGGGCGTCTCTTAAACAAATCAGAAGTATTAATCCATAGGAAGGTTGCGAAAGGTGTATCCTTCGTGCGGAGTACGTACTGAAACAAAGGGATATTGTGTATGTGAGTGCACGTAAATAACTAAAGCAGAATGTGAACTTTGTGTTTATCGGGGAAATAAGCAGAAAGCAGTTATTTCGCTGTTCCAGTCCTACACTAGTTTCCAGCCTCCCCTTTGATCTAATACATCTAGTTTTCTTAGGAGTTGGGAAGGCATTACCTCGTGAATTAAGAGCTCATGGGATATGACCTACACTCAGTCGCCGTTGGCATTGCGTGCCGTTAACGACGGATTATCACCTACAAATAACTGTTTTCCACGCGAATTCATGCAACAGTCAACATAAGTACAGGAATTTGATAGGCAGAAAGCATCGGTTATGTATTATTTGTTACAAACGAGTTTCATGGCCTTGCATGGCGGAGTTTCTAAACGTATACGAAAACGTTCCACAAACGCTCGTCTCTGTGACGCTACTGTCACGCAGCACTCAGTATTCCTGGCAGCTGCCATTGTGTCACAGTCTGCTGAGACAACTCCATAAATCATTTGTTCGTTGTAGGGTAAATGTTGTGTAAGCTGCAAAGTATTATACACATTCCCGAAGAAGTTTTCAGACATGGGCTGATAAGCGTCTTACTTCAATTTCAAAGTTATTTGAGTCGGATGATAACTTGCGAAAATCAAGCAGGCCTCGAAAAAAACAGTTCGTCTTACCAAAGATCGTTCGAGTGAGGACTGAGAGAAAAAACGGGGAAACGTCATGTCTCATGACTGATACGACGGGAGCTCACTGCCGTCTACTTACCTCGACGATCCCAGTGTCCACAGAAATCAGTTTATTGACTGCTAGAACTTAAATAGTTGGCCGATGCGTCCGCGTATTCGGACAGCTGATGAGCGTTATTTGTAAACAGAGTGATGCCGACTGTCACCAAACTAGTTGATCCGGTTTCGGAGGCGGTTGCGACGCGTTTACGAACCCCATGGCATGTTGAGAGCTTAATGTGTATAAGGCACGTCCGGACAGTGAAAACTTGCAACGACAAGCAACGGACGACAGAGCTTTTGCGGTTAGCGCCACTGCGAACGACAGTGTCTGCACGCACAACAAATGCGGTGTACCAATACTAACGGTTTAAACTTACATAAACAATATAAACTAACTCACGCACAAGTCACCGTGTCTGGTTTCACCTTGCTGTGGGGCACACGGTGGACATCGTCGGCAACGACGGTCGAAATTAAACTCAGGGAAATCAGTTAAGTGCGTGCGGTAAACGGGCAATCTGAAAATCGCACGAAGTTCCACAGGGCACCTTGGCTGCACAATCCCCTCTTCTTGTTGTCCTCTCTTAACTATCCCAGATATGTCTTCTGTGCTGGGCATCATAGTGGAGTTTGCTTGAGAACCCTACAAATTAAATAGCCCATATGTAGGAGGTTCGCAGGCTGCAGTGATCTACAACGAAGACATACGTGGGTAGAACAGTGCAAACCGTTACTTATGACCGCGTCTGATTTTAAGCCAGCAATGGCGCATCACGTCAGTTTCTACGAAAGCGGGGCATGAATTTACGGTCGCCTTCCCAAATAACATCGCAAGTCGCCCCTAATGCGGCAGTAGTACGCTTACCGCGATTGTAGTTAAGAATTCTGTTTACCAGTGGCTGAAGCAGAGGGTCAACCATGTCACGGTCAGCCGCAGTGTCTTCCAGAATCCGAAATGAAGACGATGATGGGGTTGTTAAATGTAGACTATCTCTATCACAAAAACTGGTGCTGCAACTTTCCAAAAAGTGTCTTACACCCTAGTAGACGAAGGCTAACTTCAACAGATGTCCTGGGGGACGTGCATATAAAGCTAAAGGTTGACAAAAATATTATCGAAGTTTTAACTAGGATACTTAATGTACTTATCAAGTTCCCTTTCTAATCAGACTTATAATCGGCATTAGGTTCGACACCTCTACAAGAAGCAAAATTCAGTTGGCAGATTATTGTCACGTGTCTTTCCTGCAGATATGTTTATTCGAGTTGAAATCGTATACTAGATTTGCTGCGTAAGCTTAGGAAACGCCAACGAAGGAATGATATGATCTGATCTAGCCGAAGGTTTTATGGGCCAATTCGACTCTGTCAACAAAAATGGAAATACAGTTCTTCTGCAACGTATATGAACAGGGCGGTCAGAGGTAAATTTTTGCCGTTCGCATAACCGCACGATCCCTTTAGGCGTTCTTCGTGTGTGGGACTCCAGAAGTGGCCACACTATGGTTGACTTCTGTAGTACAGTGGGAACGGTCCTCAAGGGGAAAAGCAACACCCCCAATGACAGGTGGATATAGACGGGAGGACTTATCATAAGTCAAGAATAGTTTGTTAATTAGGCAAAGGTGTTCAACGCACTACTGAAACTCATTAAAGGGAGGACCACAATCGGAATGGTAGGCGTGGATCCCATACGACTGTGGGTGGGGGATTTCCGTGAACGCCACTTTATGCCAAATGGCATAAGGGCGGCATGAATCAGCCAGCATAGGGCCGATACGTATCAACATGGTGTAAACATGTAGACGACTATATATGCCAATATTGTGCTACCATAATGAAATGTACATGCAAGAATTCTGCTATTATTATGTCAGAATCTTCCTGCGAGAGTAAACTGGAGTTTATGCAGTTATATTTATCTTTGACAAAACTAAGGGTCATAAAAACTGGAAGTACTACGAACGGTAAAGGTAGTTCAAAGGCCGGGCTATTAAGGATGAAAGTTTTCTAGTCACACACGAAGAATGAAAAAGGACTTACTATAAGAAATACGACGGTGACGATCACACTCTCATGTCATGCGGGCAACGCTGGGGTGGAGTAAAACAAAACATTGGTCCAGTGTATGTGCCAAAAGGCAATCGGACATTACTAGCGTCTAAGCCAGGAGGTGACCCTAGATTTCTGTTAGTTTTAATGCCACATATGTTCATTCGGAGATGTGTTCTTCAAAAAACTTGATATAAACATTTCACCATCACATAGTGTGTCCGATATAATTGTACAAATTACTCATGAAGTGAACTAGCCCAGACAACAGAGAGCAGTTGGTAATTTAGTTTATAAATAATAGTTTTAAGCACACTCCTGTAGGCTTAACTGACATAGTCCCCGTCTTGTATTTTCCCTTATGGCGAGATCGCTGAATTTCCTCAAGGAGAATCAGCTTAATAACGTTAAATCTGATTCAGTAAATGTATCATTAATTGCATGCTTTTTATCTGTGCACAGACGGACAGATCCCTAGAGGTGCTTTAACAAGCTTTCTTTATTCTAGTAGAGCCTCATCGATTCCTTTACTTGTCCCAAGGCGGAAAGCTTTAAGTTGGGCAAAGCACTGAACGTTTTTCTCATAGGGTTGTTTTTAGCAATCAGGAAAAGCTTAAGTTAATGTGCCTCGCAGCAATAAAATCAATGGTAAATTCCTTTGTTTAGTGCAAAATTGTTTATATGTCCAGTGTCTTCTTACTGGATTTGTCTTTAAGAGTTCAGTTGTTGCACATTGTAAATTATTCTGGGTTCTGTCAATTGACATTTTTCACATCTGACATCATTTTGGGGCTTATTGTAGTCGTTCATCTACTTTCTTTTAAAAGGATTTGTTTAATTACTAGGCGAAATCAGTTATCGACTTCCGCAAATATACGTGCTTTTTGGGGATTTTACATATAATTAATGCTCCACCAAGTAACTGTCGAAATTGCTAAACGCCTCTGTTACCTTCGATAATTTACATGATTTACTTGTGAGATAATGCATATCTTCAGAAATAAAGTACAGTCTGTAAAAACAAAATATTTTGTGGGGTACGCCATTCTTATGTAGGATTCTTCAGGGACTTTAATTTGTGGCAATCAATGGAATGTAAGACGTACATTCATAAAGATAGATTTAATGACAGGTTTATTTGCCGAAAGGTACCATGGCAAGGACACGAAAGTAAAACGAAATATGACACCTGTGTTTGCCCCAAATGACTTTTTATAAAAGATTGCATTGAATTTAGTGCATGAAAGTAAAAAAGTGAGCAGATCAATGGTACGCGTACAAGCTACTTAAAAGGGCATTTGGCAGGAAAAATAGGCTTAGCGTAGGCAGCTTTCTTTCACCAATCATCTTAGTATAACGAAATCAGGAAGAACGGACAGTTGTATGACGAAATCCTATATGGCTGAAAAACCATTTCAGCCCGCCACGGAGAAGGTATATATTAATGCGTTGGAAAAATACCTCGCGATCCACATCGCACACCCCAGTGTGTTTTACGTTCGTGCATTGTCCGCCAGTAGCCAGTAGCCGCTTCTGTTTTACTGTTCATGATTAAAAACCTACTTCACCCAGAAAATAATAGGGCAACCAAACCTACTCATCCAGTTTCGAACGTCCTCCGAAATTCCATACCATGTTTGAAGTAAGAAGACCACGTAATTGAGGAATATATGGGTGAGAATTCGCGGGCGTAGTGCGTAGCACGCACTGAAGATGTGGAACGCGCATAACAGATGAGATTTTTCCAGAGTTTGAAAACAGGGCATAAACAGATTTTCCACTTTGTCGGGTTATTAACTGCAGCAACTCACACTTCCGCAGCTTATTAGTTTAGTGGGTTTAGCTCGCCAACCTAAGGCGTGCATAGAGGGTCTCTGTGCCTATATCTGTTGTGAATATGAGAAGCTAATGTTTGCGCTCACCCGCTGCGACGCTCCAGTAGCCAATTCAGGCAGAGGACTGGACAGAATATCTCCGGATGAAAGTGTTTTCCCGCATTCTCTCCTACTTTTTACTGTTATCCGAAAAAATGAGCCAGATTTCGGAAACTATCTTTGGAACTTTGTAAAGGTAAATACGAAGGAATGACGACCGTGGCTCCGACCCGCAAAAACCTTGCTGATGAACTGAAAACTCCTCTCACTTTCGTGTCTTAAATCCCAAAGGTCAAAATACGATCAGTTCGGTCGATTAGGTTTCTGACGTACGTTGTTCGTAATGTTGATTACTGAATACACAGAAGTTGATTTTATGGAAAGTTTTTTCACCTAATTTTGATCGTTCTGGATGACTCTCAACTCACGTTGAGTTAATAACAAAACTTCGCAGTTAGAAAACTTGTAGGGCGAAAAAACAGGTGCATGCATTTCCTCGTCTACGGGTACAGTATGGGCAAACTGTCTGCTAATTGTGTAGACTGTTTCATCACTATTATCTGTGCGTGAACTATTATTTCCGTGGTGATAATTAGGCACTACCAATTTTCCGGACTCTAACGGCCATAGTTTCAATCTGTTGTTGGCTAAGCTGTGGTTTAATCAAATCTTACATTCTTGTTTCGGGCCACATCGCATCTGTCAGATCTTGACATTTCTTTTGTACTTATTTAATGTACATTTTTTCGATTTTTAAATACATTTTCGTTGCTTGTACCAAGTTGTCAGTTAAGAGGTGCAAACTAGATTTCCCTCAAAAAATTTTAATTAATGCACAACTCCATTTAATCACTTATTTTCATGAAAATATTCCTATCAATCTTCTATGCACTTCACAGAGAGACACAGTTACGTTTTGGAACCTACTTAGGAATCAAGGTAGTATAAGCCAACCTACGAGAAAGTCCAGTGCAAGTCCTTAAATTTCATCGTTGAATTTTACAACATATTTTGTCACCTTAACTGCCCATTTTTCTTTTACATGTCTTTTTTCGATTTTTGGTTAAGCCTACCAAATTGCTGTTGAATAAAAAAATATTGACGACAGTGGGCAGGTAGCATCGGGTATCGCGCATTCTGCAAAAATCCTTGATGATGATGCATTCGACTGGCCTGATGTCGCATTATGATGAAAGAACGGCAACCACCGATTGTCGGTTGACGCCGTTCAGCTGTCCGACCGTCATGCTCGACGTTGTTCACCCTGCGCTTCACAACGAGGTGAGAATACGGACAGTGACATGTGCGTGAATTAGTTTACAGCTATAGCAGATCGACACAACATCTACCGTAGCCTTTCCGCATCTCCCGCCTGAATCCGGTATCGAGACAGCGCCAAGAGGACCAGAGGCAGAGAGCTTAGGTGGCTTTTGCAGCCGGACCCTCATCCATGTGTACCACTGTGGCTGTCAGCACTCTTGGTCACCGATTTGTGTCGCTGTTTTTCTGTCCGCATAACTTTCCTGTCCGACTCACTGCCTGACCATGCAAGACGTACTACCGCCCGTGGCTTGGAAGCCAACCAACGCATCTTCTACGTCGATTGTCTACAGGTAGACATGTTGGACCAATGGCGGCAAAAACTGGTGGGCACATAGGACGCCGCCCATGCGGACGGGACTTTTACATGGAACAGAAGTGCACAAAACACACTAGCAAGGGCAGCTTGTGGTGACTGCATGCATCGTTTCTTTTATGCTCCCTCACTTCATTAAGACCTGTTCATTCTTATCTGTATTTCACGACTACTGAGTCGATAAATTTCGCGTTAGCTTATCTTAACGATACCACCACACCTCTTGTCTGCAACAAACGCTTGACCAGGGCTTAACAATAAATAACAAAGGGAAGAGGTGGCAGAAATTCCAATGTGGGGACGGCATGAGCTTGAGCATGGCCGTGACATCACACTCCAATTTTGGTGTTTGCTGACGGCGCATATCTTAAGCAATGGATCTAGGTGCCGTGTTGGTCCATAGCGTCTACCGCGTGGCCCATGTGAGGGGCAAATAACCTCATCCACATGACCAATGACGCACCAAAGCGCACTAGCCTCGACATCAAGTACCAAAGGTACGGTCAGCTGCCCAACTTCCAAGGCACGCAGGAAAATCCGAGAACTTTTAGAGTCAGTGCCCCGGTTCCTTCTTTGTGAATGACTGCTCGATTAATGCAACAAACAAGAAGGACATGCAGATGAATGTGGGTTTTTCGACTCAGGCTGCACGAACCGTGGTGTGCCCGTAAATACGAAGAAAAAATCGGCCTTACAACAAGAGCCGCAGTCTAATGGCCACAACATGCTCAAAATCAGCGCCGGTAAAAATCGTCTTGTAACTGGGGACCCACACGGGCACCAAAAAAGAGGAATTTCCAGAAATGTCAAGATTAATTATTAGAATGTCAATCCAATCTTCTGGTTTATGTCCGGCTTCATTACCCAATTTGAAGCAGTCCCAATGTGCATGTAAACGTTAAAGCGATTAAATACAGAGTCCTCATCATGATAGCGTTTTCATAATGTACAAAGACCGTCTAATAATGTTTAGCAAGGACGCTCAATCAGCTTCATATCAGATGACTTCATCCAATTTTAAAATGAAATGTAAGGGAAGGACCTAGGCATTAGAACTGTGGAATAAGTCTGTGTCCTCCATATCTGCGTTCTCTTACAGCAAATGTAAACGCAGTGAAAAGGCTGGATCATGAGAATGGATAAAAATCATCCACCCAATCAAAGTCAACTAAGTCCTCTCAGGCAAGGCAGGTGAAAACGAAAATAAAAGGACACACTGAAGGCTCCTGTGAAACATCCGCATGTCATCTGCGAAACCCTGAATGACCTCACAGGACTGATGTCATGTCGTTAGTACTAGAGCATCTATTTTTAACGCCAGGCGAAGGGCATGGCAAACCGAGATGTCCTCAAGTCCGGCGGACGTTTATAAATTAAAAGGAAAAGGAATGATATAATATAAAAAATATTTCAAAAAAATTGAAAGCTTTTAGCCTTTTGTTTTTTGAACAAATTTTTGCAACCACAGACATATTGCTCGTGCATTTTGCAATCCACACTTTGTGCATCCAATTTTCGGTGTTGTACGGTTTCAACTCATTAAATTCGCGTCGAAATTCGGTTCTAAGATCCTTCAGTAGTTTCAGTTAATTAGACTTTACTTTGACAATAATAATAATAATTTTTATTAAAGCCCCGTTAGGGTCCAATCAAAGCAAGTAAAAATAAATGTACATGAGAATTTTAGACGAGGTAGGCAGAATCTGTACAAAATGCAATTCACAGTTTCTGAATTTGCAGTCCGTTGAGAAAAATTATGAGCGAGCGGCGAAAAAAGTCCAGTAAAAAATTTAAAAATGACTGGATTAATTTTACAGGAGAAAAAAAAACCCTCGCTAGTAATAATAAAAGAAGAATACGGGCAGGATTAACCCGCATGTGGTGGTATATAACGCATTATAATCGGACATCGTCAGGGCAAAAATAAATATCAGCCTTGAGGGGAACGTATCGGCGTCGGACAGGACTGGCCTGCATGTCGTATTATATACGAATTTAGAACTGGCATCGTCAGGGGAAGATTGATACGCCGGATGAGACTATTCGCGTAAAAGAGGCCAGACGAGAAGAACCCAGACGCGATCGGCCACCGTACGTTTCGAGCCCAGCGAGGAGTGGGGAAGAGAGGTACGACCAAACTACTAGTAGATGTCGAATACTGAGGGTGCCGCCGTGAGAGTCGACAGACCGCATGAGGTCGAAATGTGGGAGATGACATCACGAACCGCGAAAATCGTCGCTATGGGGAAGAAATGATAGCACTGGATTTATAAACATATTCAAAACAGGGTTCCTGATGATATAATTGAGGGGTTCCACTTGATCTACCACTCAATCCCTGGAGGACCGTCCTCGAAGTCAAGGAGTTGAGTGTTCGGGAATGAGACCGTTAATAGTACCTTTATTCTTTTCGGTGTAAGGTGTTTGCGTTATTTCGACTTAAATACCTGTATTTTAGGCGATGACCTAATTTCTGGCGGAACATAATTCCAAAGGAGGGCATATTTAAAAGGAAAGAAGAGGGAGCGCATAGATGTAGTGCAAAGAGGCGGCGGAATCACTAGGGAGGAGTTTGGGGTGGCATAAGGCAGATCACCCGAGGTGGGAGTGTCAATAAGCGGAAGATTGGAGCTAGAGTTGATGCGAAAAAGGAAGCAAAGGCCAGCTTCGAGTTTTCTAACCCACAAAAACTTAATGTTCGCCAGCTGACACCTCTGAGTGTAAGAAATACCGGACGAAGCTTGAGAGAACAGTTTCCGGATGAAAATCCTCTGAGCATTTTCGATTTTATTACGGTCGCAGGCGTTCATTAAACCGAAGAAAGGACAGCAGTATTCGAGGACTGGAAGAACAAACATTTGATGTAGTCTTAGCTTCATTTCCGGAAGGAAAAAATTATGCGAAATGAATCCACCTATTTGCGAGGCTTTGACAGAGATTCTCTCTGCATGAGGTTATAAAGCGAGCTTATTTGTATAAATTAAACCGAGGCCTTCTGTGGGGAAGCATTTTGAGTGTTGGTTATTCTAAAAAATTAAGGGATCAGGAACTTTGGCAGGACAACGAGACATAAAACTACACTTGGATGATGAAAACTCCATCTGCCATTTTGAACCCCATCTGCTAAAGCGTAGGAAATCGACATTAATTTTTTTTAAAACAAGCATTTGCGATGTCCTTAGAATATGAGTAAACACACTTGAGGTCATCGGCATAAATAAGAGTTTGCGAATTTTTGAGTTCAGTCGAAATACCATTGTTGTAAGGAAGGAAGAATAGCGGACCCTGAACCGTGCCTTGAAGTACGCCACTCGTGATCGAGTGAGGTGTCGAGTAGCTATTACCGACCACGTCTTTCTGATATCATTTGGATAGACAGGACCTGATGAAGACGTCTATGGGACCCCTTGTCAAAGGCTTTGCTAAGATGAAAGTAGATAACTATCACTGACTGCTGTTCATTACGAATAGAAGTGATTAGATAAAGAAATGCCAAGTGGCAAGTTTCACAGGATTGATCAGGTAGAAACCCATGCTGATTTGTTTTCAGGATCCGATTATCCAGACAGAAGTCAGGAATTTAATTGAAAATTATCTTTTTAAGAAATTTTGCTAGAGACAGGGTCTCGTTCACATCTCGATAGTTATTAACACCGGACCAAGATCCAGACTTGAAGACAGCTGATGTCTTCCATGATTCACGAAAGCATTGGTTTGAAATATAACTTGAGAATAAATGGCTAAGCAATATGGGAAGGTCGAGTGCTTGTTGGATAATCGGATGTGGAATCCCGTCCGTTCCTGAGCAGTGTGAGTATTTTAAACGACTTATGTGTTTCTCAATGGGTTCTGGGGAGACATCGATTGTACTCAGTGTCCTATCTGAAAGTGATCGAAAGAAAGGGACCGGTTCGGACTCAGTATTAAGGTGTTTTGCAAAGAAAGCACTAAACAACTCCGCCTTGGGAGTGTCATCGATGAGGATGACTCCGTTATCATTTAGCAGGGGTGGAAGTTCGTGACCACGCTTAGAGGATGACCGATGACGGAAGATGTTAACGACGGATTTGCCAGGGTTCGAATCACTGAGAGCAAGCGATTCTCTTTGCCTGTCGCGCGCTTGGCGCATCCTTGAGGCCATCTCAAAAATCTCTGTGATTCTAAGATGAATTGATAAGAAACTATTGGATGGGTCACGCAGCTGCCGTCTCAGCTTTTTAAGTCCGTTGTGAAGAAAATGAGGAACGAGGGAATCTGAAGAATTAGGCTTGAGATATCTACGCGGCACAAGCTCTAGAATGTCCTTGGAAACACTGGACATGTCGTCACGCAGAATGGTCGCATCGCTACAGGAGAGGAAGCCACACCAATACAAAGATCTAATATAGTTATTTTTAAGTCGTTATCTGCGCAATCGTAGAGGGCAAAATTCAAGTGTAGCCGAAAGCTCTCGGTCTCTGTTCCTTAGCGTGACCTAATCAAATCTATATCAGGAAGCATTAATAACCATTTGTAACCCGTTGCCAATGCTAGGCAGGTGACCTGCCTACGTCATGGAATTGTAACAGTTTCCTATTGTAGTTCGGTACTATTTTCTCATTTTCGGGAAAATTCTTCTACATGAACATCTCCCATGTTACCTATCCAGAAGATTGGCGTCTTGCCTCATTCGTTCACTTGGTTGACAGTGAACTATGTGACAGAAAAAAGGGCTTATAACTTCTCTTTGAAAGATGCCCCGCCGTCTGTACGGCCAAACGGTGCTACGGCAGACTTTCTTAAATCTTCCGTGCGTCGAAAGTCTGTCATTGTGGCGACTGCTCCAACACCACCTATTCCGGCTCCATTTTGCCAGTTAATGACCGCGACCACCGTTGGCACGCCGTTCACACACGACCACCCTCCCCCCGGCTAGAACTGGGGCACCTCCTGCCCAGCTGCAGTGATCCCCGGCTGCTCTCATAAACTATCGTCACCTCACGCGAGTTGAATGACCTGGCTTGATACCCGTGAACCCTTGTGAGTATGCACCCCCCTATTCCTCCCTTAATCCGTCCAACTACATGACCAACACTCATCCAGTCACATCCTCTTGCTGACGCGGTCATTCACTCCCGCATAAACAACACACCGCGACTGATGCTCTCCGGGAACGGACGCTAAGCTCTGTCACAAGCAAACAACAAATTCACGGAAACCTACCCTGTGTATAGAATAAACCTCTTCTCACAGCTCCCTGACCTCCGAAACAAGACGGTGCTAAATTATGCTGTGCGGTCACAGTTGATCTCACATCCTTCACCGCCACATCACCACGTAGCAAAAATCCGCCTATTTAGTAAAACTGCCTTCACCAGTCGAAGTTGGTCCACAGCTAACCTCGTTCCCTTGCATAAGGGAGGTAGCAGGATGGCAGCAAGCAGCTTCAAGCTTATTAGTTTAGCTTGCTTCCCATGCAAAACGATGGAAGCTGTAGTAAAGAGCGCTATGCAGCAGTTTAATGAAGAAAATAACATCTTGCAGAATTTTCAGCATGACTTCCGGAGAGGACGTTCCTGCATCTCACATTTGCTAACCTGCAGAATTTTCACAGAAGGATCTCGGTGTTTGGATACAGAACAACCTGAAACCAACACTGCAGTGCCACAGGGCTGCAAAAAACGCCATGGGAGTGCTGCATGCAATCAAAAGGGTTTTCGTGAACTTTGACCAAGACCTTTTGTGAGAGTTTACGGCATTTTGATCCGCCTCACTTAGAATATGGCAGACAAGCGTGGCGGCCATGGCTAGTAAAGGACCAAGCATGCCTCTAACGGGTACAACGGCGTGCAACAAAGCTGGCAAACGGTTTAAAAAACCAGTCCTACATGGAGAGACTGAATTGCCTTAATTTATTCCCTATGTGTTACAGGCAGCAAAGGGATGATCTTATTTTCGTCTACAAGATAATACATGGCCTTGAGCATGGGCTTAAATTTGAGGACATGTTTCAGTGGCACCTTTCACCCAATCTTCGTGGTCACTCGATGAAGTTACGGACAACGATGTGCACGCTGAATCTTCGTTCTGAATTTTATACGCAGAGGGTAGTGGAGAAATGGAACGATCTTCCTCAGTCAGTTGTGAGGGCTACGTCTCTGAAACTCTTTAAGAAACGCTTGGATGATTATTTGTGTCCCCTGTTTTCCCTCGACAGTCTGAATCTGAACTAAATACCCCGCGCCCCCTGAATATTTTTCCTCCGAAACAGTGCTACTCAAATGAATCAAGTGCTTTTTGAATAAAGAATATTTTAATTGTTCGTGTACAGTTATTTCTAAAGAGCTGACATGTAGTCAGTAGGGTTTTCAAAGGCTTTGTCTATTATCCTTACCAAATAAACTGAAAACTGAAACTGTTCAAACGGCCCAAAACCAAGAGACACCGATAAACGGAAACTTCAATGCACCAATGGTCGACTGGAACAGCTTGTTAGTAAATGGTTTGCGAAATTCCTTTGATTCCAGGCTCTTGAAACTAACGGCTAATCTTTTTCAGGTACATAATATCTGGTTTCCAACGAGGATCAGAGAGGACCAAAGAGCAAACTGTCTGGACCTCGTCCTTACAAAAGACCCAATTAGTCCTGGGGAACTTAGATCGATAGCACTGCTCGTTAAGGGTGACCACGCCATGCTGTTTTAGGAATGCCGCCTATGCAGAAGGCAGGCGGATACGAATGAGCCTCGCCTGGATATCTGGCGATGAGTTTTTGCCGCCATGAGAAGTGAATTATCGATAGTGAACTGGCATGACGTTCTTACCGGACATCCCGATGTCGATTGGAACACTCTCGAAGGGGTTGTAACCGGCTTCATGCATCGAAACCGTCCGACAAAGAGAGTTAAAAAGACTAATCGCCCTGACTGGATAACGTGGAATGTAGGAAAAAAAGTAAACCGGAAGAATAAACTGCGGAGAAAGTATGCAACAGCAAAACAGCCATCTTATTATGAGCAGTTTCGCCGTCGGCGAAACGAGGTAAGGTCGGCTATTCGCAGGTCGCGGAAGGGGTATGAAACGCGAGTTATGGAACGGGCCGTCGATAAGCCAAAAGTGTTTTTCAGTTACATCAACAGCAGGCTAAAAAACAAAGAGACGGTCTCAGTGCCGAAAGGAGAAAACAACGAGAGCATTACCGAAAATGGTGATAAGGCAGTATATCCTAGCCGGTTTTCGCATCTGTTGTTACCAATGAAACGGACTTTGACGAGGATGGATTTTCCTCATCGTTGACATCGACAAGGCGGAATTATTTACAACACTGCAAAACAACTGAGTCTGAGCCAGCTCTCTCCTTTCATCTACCTTCAGATAGAAAACTCAATAAGATCGATGTCTCCTGAGACCTAAATATGAAACGCATAGGTAGCTTGAAAAACTCATGTTGCTCGTGAATGGATGGTAACCCAAATTCGATCGTCAAACAGGCGTTAAAAGTTCCTAGATTGCTTAGTCGTTCATTCTCAGTCTATGTTTCTGGTGGATATTTTTCCGGAACCCTGAAAAACCACACGTATTCTTCCAGTTTTTAAATCTGATTGTCAATACGATGTTGAAAAATATCGTCTCAAGCGAAACTTCTTAAAAAGATCATTTTCAATGAAAATTTTATTTTTTTCTCTATCTAATCAGTTTCCGAGCTCTGGTCGGCATGAATTTTTGCCTGGAAGTTCTTGCGGGGAATTTCATTTAGCCTTTCTTAATCTAATCACTTATCATGCCAATAAGCATCAGTCAAGCGAACAGGCGAGCTCCAGGTTGCAGTTCAGAAGACGAAGATGGAATCACTGGAACAAGAGGTTTATTGGCCTGACGTTTCGGATCCTCATTCGAATCCATCATCAGAGACATTCGCACATAAAGGTGATGGTGGCACCAGGAGTGCAGTATTTATAGCACGTGGCTGCCGTGGGACCATATGCGCGCTGTAATTAACAGCTCTCGCAATCACCGCTGGGGTCGTAATTAGCAGCGGGTCTTTTGGCCTCAAACGCAGTTGCTTATGGGCGCTATACCAGCGCGTTGAGACGCACTGCAGTGAAATGGAAGACAAGGTTACTGAATTACAATATCTTCGACTGGTAATGGGAGCTAATGGCTACCCGAGCAACTTTGTCAACTAGTGCATAGGAAAACGACACCAGGCACCAAATCCAACCGGCCCCAAATGTTGGAGGGCTCTTCCGTACGTGAAGAACGTCTCAGAAGCCGTCAGTCGTCTTTTCACTCCACTTGGAGTTGGAGTTGCACACAGGCTGGAAGCAACCATTAGGTGCCAAGTCATGAGGCCAAAAGACTCGCTGCCACGGCAGGAAACGTCTGGAGTTGTTTACCGGATCTGGTATAGCTGCGGACAAAGCAACTATGTCGGAGAAACTGGGAGATTACTCCGTACGTGAATTGCCGAGCACGCAGCAGCAGTGAGGTGGGGAGACGCTAGCTCTCAGGTGGCGGCACAGTCGACGGGACCCGGCCATATTTTCAAATTTCAAGAGGCCGAAATCCTCGCAAGGGGTGAAAACCGCGTGAGCCGTCAGCTGCTCGAGTCATGGTTCTCAGGTCAGCAATCCATCAACAAGCACAATGACCTCCCGGTACCATATTCCGTACTGAGATTTTTCCCGGGGCAGGGGAATCAGTCAGGTGGGGAAGGCGCGGGCGAGCAGTTATCCTAGTGGCAGTGAGCCAATTTGTCGAGCAATCGTCACACCAGCATCCAGTACGGATGACGAAATCACTGCAATTAGCACTCGGACTCCGACTGACAAGCTACTACCGCAGCAATTACGAGCCCAGCGGTGATTGCGAGAACTGTTTATTACAGCGTGCATATGGTCCCACGACAGCCACGTGCTATAAATACTGCACTCCTGGTGCCACCATCACCTTTATCTGCGAATGTCTCTGATGATGGATTCGAGAGAGGATCCGAAACGTCAGGCCAATAAACCTCTCGTTCCAGTGATTGCATCTTCGTCTTCTAAACATCAGTCAGTTGTGGCCGACTACTTTGATCTCGGTAAGGCCTCCGATTAGATGCCATTTAGACTTCTTTCAGAAGAATTGAAAACTCTTGACATCTAGTTTCCTCTTATTAAATTAATTGGATTCTATTTATCCAGCCGCTATCAGAAAGTCACGGGTAGTGACAGCTACTCCCCGCCTCACTCACTCACGCGTGGTACACTTCAAGACACGGTTTTGAGCACACTACTTTTCCTGCTTTACATCAACGACGTTTCGACAGAAATCAGAAATGCGCAAACGCTCATTTTGCCAAAGACCCTGGATGCATTTATTTATTTTTTTAGGACAATACAAATGCTTGTTTTAAAAAAGTTTGTCCAGGCTAATTATGCTTCTGGAAATGGGGTGCAACTTCGCAGATGGCATTTTCTTCGCCTAGATGTAATTTCCCGTGTTTTGTACCTGCCAAGATTCCTGACTTCAAAATTTTCAAAGTAATTCACTCCCAGAGTGCTCCACAATAAAGGGTTGAGGCCTAGATTGCACAAACAAGCCTACATTATCACATTTTGCAAATCCAGTTTCTGCAAGGGCTGTGCAGATATGTGGTTTCATATCACATTTTTTCTTCTTGAAATATAGTGAAAACAGTACCAATTGTTTGTTCTTCTTGTCCTTTAATAATGCTGTCCATTCTCTGGTTTAACGAATGCCTAGACTGTAGCTAGATCGAAAACGTTTAACGATTTTTTACTCGGAAGCTGTCTCCCTAGTGCTGGATCCAGTATTTCTTATGCTGAGAGCTGATAGTTAGCGAGCAGTAGATTTTTATGGGTTAGAAGACTCGCATTAACCCTAGCCATAGTCTTCCGGGTATCGACTCTCTCGCTCTGACAAATCGACCCTGTGCCACGCGCGATTGCTCCATGATTATGCCGTCTCCCCTTTGCTCTATGTCTAAACTCTCACTCGCTTTGCGTCCTAATGCGCCTTCCTCTGGAAAAATTTACAACTTATGTCACCGCCCAAATTAAAGGTATTCACATCGAAATTACGTAAGTACCTTACTCCGGAAAGCATAAAATCGTTATTGACGGCTTCGCTCCTGAACACACAACTAGAGGAATTTGGAAAGGGTCCTCCCAGGGTTTAGTGGCAGACAACATATGTTTCGCTTGTTTAAATGGACAGTCTCAATTAAATTTTTACGTCTCCCTGTTTTTAGTCGGCTGTTGACTCCACTGCTTTTACTCCTTCCCTGCTGCAATGATTTTCGTGGACTTTAGTGCCATCTCCCCAATTCGATCCCGAACGATCTGTTGACGACTACTGCGGGTACCTCTGTTTTCGCCTCTGGTAGTAGTTTGGCCTGCCGACAAAGAGGTGTCATGTTCGCATCCCCCGGCCTTTGATGATCACCACAGCCCTCAGTGTATCCTGTTCGCTCGGATTTCAAGCGGACTGTGATCGCCACCTTGACGGTTGCTTCTGCTGTCATTCCAAGAATATCATGATCATATCTGCAGCGAACAACCTCATCCGAGAGAGAAATTTCACCATGACGAGGGACCTTTCGAACATGTAGGGAGGTCCTCTCCGGCACGCATACTTACCTTCCATGAACGACAGATTTTCCCCTAAATCTGGTCGAATCATATTTATTTGCCTTTATTAATCGGATTTTAAGTAGTGTTTCTCATTGTTGGCTAACCGCTTTCTATACCAAACTGCTTTTTTTATAACCATCAACCGAACACTATCCACTGTTTGCCTACTCGTTCTATGATTCAATCGAAAATGTATTTTTTTTCTAACCATGAAAGTACTCTTATGGGTTCTTAATCAGTCTATTCATTTATTTACAGGAACAGAATGCCGCGAACCGTTTCAAACAGCCAACAATTACCAATATGCTTCGTGTGCATGATAACAATTGGGGCAACAACTGAAATGGCTAAAAGCCTCAGGATCCTCCGTCACAATACCCTGCTCAAACCCGCTTCAACATCGAAGTACCACATCACTATCTGCAATGTAACAGAGTTGTTCTTTCCACCCTAACTGCTGCAGTCCAGCATCACAGTTCTGGCTGTCTTCGCCTGACACTTATGTTCCAATAGCGACGAGAACACTGCTCGGCCACCAGGGACAAATACGTCCAGTCCTTTTACGGCAGCGGCCGCCAACATCGATACCACTACAGCAAAAACCGCCAGTACCCATGACAGCAATGAAGGCGGTGCTCCAAACAGTTAGCATTGTGCACACATATTTCGGTCGTAAATCCGCCTGGTCAGACGAACCCGGACTTAAATTAGGTTGACTAAACATACAGGGCCTAGAATCTCGGCCTACACCTGTTACGTGCGACTTGCTTGTCTATAATGTCGCCAAAATTCAAGCACCTTGATTGTCTTCCGACATACGCTTATACTCGAAAACCTCAGGTATAATAACGATCCCCGGCCCCGACCACAATCGCCACACTAACTATACACGCAAGTGCTCATAGTTTGTAAATGGATCCACTCGGTTGCACTCGTATACACGAAGAACGTTCACAACACATAAAATAGAACTCATGCAAACTGCAAGTAGGGCACACGATGGACAGCTGTTTCTTAGCATACCAGTCACTGCACCCAATGTCTTTCCTGGTCAAGTTGACAGGCCTTTGCTACATGAGATTTGGAAGGAAGTGATGCCAGTCTGAAGACCCCGTCCTTGTGATAATTCTGTGAATTCCTTGCTGTAATCAAGCTGACGGTCTTGTATAAATTGCGACGGGCTAATTTTTCGGCCCCGCTAGTTTCTATATGACTTGACAATATGTTTCCCCTAACGACTGCTAGATAATTGTAGTGACTTCTCCTTGAAATGGCTTTTGTGCAATTCTAACAAAAAATGGATCCAGCGTCCTCAAATGCAGCCTGGTGCGTTTTTAAGGGGGTTGGTTCCTTCCGCCACACGAAGGTGGACTGTTCAGTGTTTGTTCGAGACAAGAATGGCATCGTCTACTTTTTGGTCCAGAAAAATCATCCATCCATACAATTAGGAAAGATGCACAAATAAAGAATCGTCATCAACGAGATATACAAGCGCAATAAATTTATCCTCGCGCTAAACGTGTTTCCTCCAATGTCGCCATTTTATGTGACTTTATACGCAGAGATAGCACTCACAATAGAACTTCATGAAATTTGTTCTCTAGTTGTTCTGGATTATCGTTCCGACGTTCATAGCGTAAAGTCACCAGAAAATCTAATGAAATTAATAGGATTCGGAAGATGTTGTGCTAGATCACTATGCAAACGCAATGGCGCAAACGGCTTATACACAAAGTTGTCAGGTCCTCAATAACTAATTCAAACTTTATTCAACTTCTCTTCCGAAGCACGCACTCAGTTGTCTCCTTCTGTCCCTTCTGTTTATATCCCGTGCGGTGCACGTCAAGTTCACTTCCCTGGCCGTTTTGTCACTCACATCTTTTGGACTTCTGTACATCCTTTGGAGTCTTCTTAGTTCGCCCTTCGGTTTCGTAGGGGGTAATATGTTGAGGTGTCAGACTAACCGACCCTTAACACTTTCATCCCTTTTTCTTTACTATTCTGGTTGTTTTATCCTAATGTACACATCGTTGCAAGTCAATCCCCGCATCTCATGCACGCTTCATTATCAGTCATTGGAAATCTTTAATATCAACTTTATTCACCCACTGGATTTTCTTGTTGTTACTCTTTCTCACGTTTCGTAAGATATAGCGTTGTTGATATCTAGATTGCCGTCTTGTCAACTGTGGAAACTAGAGCAACAGTCTACGAAATCAACCAGGTCACTGCTGCCAAATCCAAACTTGCGACCCTCTAGTTTCTAGCGCCTTCGACCCTCCACACACATGTCCAACCTACATTAGTACGCCAACACTGCCGCGAACATTCTGCGCACCTATCGGCCTGGACGGTCATCCGAGGGCCCAATGCAACGGCGACCCAATAACGATACTTGCCGTCTCCGCAAACACCCCCATCGTCATCCCTGCACCAACCTCCACGGTGCCCTCGAAGGCGACCAGTTCCACCACCAATGTCCACATTCCTGATGCCCTGTCGTTGTCGCTGCCATTCACCACCACCACCACCACCACCACCACCACCACCACCACCACAACCACCAACACCACCAACACCACACCACATACGAACCCGTCCCACAGCACTCACCATAGGCACGGGACCGGCATCTAACACCAAGTACCTTCCCTGTGTGTCTACCATGGCATTCAAAGTCAGGCTGTAGTGGTACCTTCTCAATGTGGTCTCTATGACATTCCAACTCAGTCGGAACCCGAGTCAGTCCTTTGTGGTGTTGGTGAAAATTTGATCCTTTGTGGGCGGATCGGGCGTGTGTGGCACGCGTAGAGGGACTGCTCAGCGTTGTCAGTCAGTGCGCCCTACACCGTCTCCGGTGTTATTGGATCTGCCCTGACGCCGGCTCCAGGAGAGTGAGGGAGGAGGGAGTGCGGTAGAGGGGGTGAAAGCCTGCTATCGTTATGATCTAATTCACGTGCAGGTCTCCACCCCGGCGCCCGCCATGGTGTGGGGCGAACGGTGAAAATAGTCAGAAACGACGATGGAACTGTCAATGTGAGTTTTAGGCCGTCCGGAAATAAAAACACCCTTACCGACATTAGTATGGGTGAGAAGTTGTTAATATGTATATGATGAATAGAAGCCGACGTGCTATAACACCCTGAAGTACCCAACTAGTCATATATGTCGGTCCCAAGAGCGAAATTTGAATCTACACTATATGTCGCTTTTTGGGAATGATAAGCGAAAATCAGGAGGAGGGGTTGATCTTTGTATGTTCGCAGTTTTCTTAATAATCTCTGGTAGGCAACACCGTCACATAGTTTTTAAGTCAAGGTGTACTGCAGCTATTGTGTTCCATTAATTTCTGTTTCTAAAAATAAATACCAGGAAAGCAAGCTTGCGTGAAAGACTTGCCGTTCAAACGAGGCGGCATCATGGGAGAAGGTGTTTGACTGAATGTTGTCAAATAGTCTAAAATCTGGTTATGAACACCACGGCACTTGCGCCTATGCTCCTTATAACTCAGCTTAAATACTTGGAGTATTCCCATATCATAGATTAAAGTTCATTTGATTGGGTTACTGAAAACAGATTGGAAAGGAAAGTCGAGACATATGTCCTGTGCTCCGCAAGACATGGGGGACTGCGGCCGCTCATACAAATGTCAATTTTGCCGATTGTTTATCACCGGCGTGGCGACAACATGTGCTACCTTGACGCCCATTTCGAGAATAATTACAATCACTTCGTTAGGGTTTCAAACGAGATACTTTCTCACATCGTTTGCGTTATGTATAAAAAAACAGAAGAATGATTGTAGGCAGCGCAAACGCCGACCACAATTGACCGCAAAAGTTGAGAGACTTAAGAGATACCGCGGGATACATGGCAAAAGTCGTCGGAGAGAATACGCTCTAAGGTGGGTTTGTCGAGTGTGTTCAGTCTTAAAAGGCTATTGTAAGTAGAAATCCGTCCTTCTCAGATGCGTCTAAAGTTCGTGATGACCTACTAGGCTGACAGCAGCGGCCGAACTCCCGCTTGCCGCTTGCCTGCTTGCGCCGTTTGTGACTCAGCCTTCCACTTGTCGACACTATGATAAAATTCTGATCTTTAATGATTGGACGAAGCCGGACATGGTTAAGGCGCACGCAGCACCTCGTGTAGACAAAGAGTATTAACGGCTGGCTCTCGGCCCGATGGAACTGTTACTTAGCAACTGTTACTGCCGCGGCCTTCTGAGCTGCTTGTACTCTTCAGGTCACATTAAATCTTATCTAGCTAATTCTGCCTCTAGGTTACTTCAGGGATGTTCATATTAATCGCGATTATTTTACCTGTCTATCTAGATGCGGATTTGAAGATGTCCGGTCCAAGCCACATATTGGGCAGCACAGGCGGGAGTCGAACCCGGGCGGTCGCTCGGCCAGAAAACCGTAACTACCACTTAGCCACTGACTCGCGCCAGTGTCGCCAAAACAAATGATACATCATGTATTACGCATGATATTAATGACTGCAGTGTTGGATGTTCTGCTGTCAGACCAATGTCCGTAAGACGAGAAAAAAAGTCTAGTGACGTTGGGGGATGTCACATACGACGATGAAATCCGTATCACATATTTTGGACTCATCCATAATTTTTCGAAAATTGAGGGGGAGTTAAAAGGTCTAAAATGGAGGTAGAAAAATTAAGGAAGCTTACTCACCGCTTGCGTGAAGAGAAGAAGCGGACGAATTCGGCAATCCAGAATCCGAAAAGACATATGCAACCACGGCTTCCTTAGCCATATGAAACGCTGAAACTGACGGCGGTTCGTCCAGGAAACTAGACACAGCTGAATGCCAGTCTCTTAGGCGAGAAAAAGACCAGCCAATGCGAACTCAGAGAACAAAAAATCATCCCAGTAAAATAACACGCACATCTGTACGGTCCAAAAAAACGAAGGCCGCTTGCGTACACGCAGACCAGCGGAGGAGGACGACCAGGAGGCCTACGAAGGACCGTCGGACGCTTCCAACCCTGTTGAACCATAAAGATATCGGAACACCTTGTTGACCGAATATTCAGGAGGAGGCTTCGAAAGAAACTGAGGTAAGCTTTTCCGGCGAACAACTCGGAAACAGAGAATGAAGGGTTATCAACACGAAAATAAATGAATCATACACGGATATCACTTTCGCTAGCCCAATAGCTAGTTCACCCGGAGCCAGCGAAACAAGTAAACCTAAGAAGAACATTCAGTCACTCAAAAGATGTGCGACAATAACGAGCGCTAGATTCAGTCGCAAACAAAATGTAGCTATAAAAGGAGTACCCGAATCAACGGCAACAATTCCAAAGGGGAGAGTTAAGCATGACTTAGACCTTCTTCAAGTGTATGCGAAAGCTTTGTTAGGAGACGGTGAGTCACTTAATGTTCTCAAAGCATTCCGAATAGGGAAGACTCAGTCAGAGTCCGGTTTCAATTCCGGCCTCGACTCCTAAAAGTCATTTTAGAGACTGAAGCACAGGCCCAGCTCCTGTTACAAAGAAAATCATCTCTGCGGGGTCAGCATCCTATAGTTTTTTTCAGCCGGATTACGAGCCAAGAGAGCGAATGAAAATGAGAGAGCTGATGACGGAGCTGGAAAAGCGGAGAAGCAGCGGCGAAACACACCTACAAATCAAGAACGGACAAATAATTCAGGTCAAAAGGACATTTCTCTGGCCAAAGGCTGTCATACTGACAGCCTAACCGATGCAAAGTTGCCAACTCCTGAGGCTGCTAACACCAGTGGCCGCTGTCTAGAAATCTAGTACAGTTACGAAAATTCCCACAGCAGTAATCAGAAGACGAGGTGGCGAGCATACGTAGCTTTCGATAAATTCTCGTCGGGCCAGTACAGTTATATGAGAACGGGGTAGAGGAAAAACACGTCAGCGGTAAGAAAAATCGATAAAATTTCTACTTAAAACACGTGCGGGGTGTGG